CTTCTCTATTTACTGTTCTATGTTTTAGAAAAATAGCTAAGAACTTGTTTCAAAATAGCAATAACCTATGTACATAAATAATGTATAATAATTGAAATGTGACTGTATTCTAGAAAATACTAGTCAACTAAAACACAGCCAAGACAAGTTACTTTGTACAGACCAAAGATTACCTTTATGTTATCTGGTACATTAGCATGAGTGCACATGAGCCACATTGTTGTAACTTCTCTATTGTTAGCCAGGCATGGGTGAAAGGTCAGTATAATAAAAATAATAAATATATATATATAAATGTATAATGTAATGAGATTTAAGCTATTTTGTCTAACCATTTGTTTTTGTATTATAATTTCTGTTCATTCTAGAATGAAAGAGGCATAATTTATGTTTATTTCCTAATTTTTTATGGTGGTTGCGAGATCTGATAAATTTACTGAACCTGTACAGATTAATTACTGAAAATAACAGATAAAATATAAATATATTTCTCCTGTGAAATTTCAAAATTTTCTGATGCATAAAAGTATTTTTTATCTTAAAATGAAAATTACTTTGCATGATAGATAGATAAGATGTGAAAAGAAAAAAAAAAAAAAGCATGAGAAAAACATTGCTTTACAAACCTTAACACTTAATAAAAAAAATTAGGTATTTTTCATATGAAAGCATTGTAATGTTTACTGATAAACTGACAAATTTTGTTAACATTCACTTAGTAATTTAAAAGTTATGGCATGAAAACTATAACAACCACAAAATGGTTACGAGTTCGGTCCCAGGGACTGAGCCCGGGTTGAAAGAGTTAAACAATTTATTTACAATGTCTTAGAATTGGTATGACATATTTCTGGAAAAATAATTAGATTAAGTGTACAAAATGTTAAAAGTTTCAATGGTATACCTTTTATACTTTTAGAACAAATCTGACTTTCATTAACTATATATTTCAATTGTGACAAAACAATCACTTTATAAAATTAAATGTTAGAACTTACATTATCAATTGCATCTTCATCTTCACTGACATCATCATTAAAGTCAATGATATCATCTACCTCTTCTTCACCAAATGTAACAGTGTCATTAATCTTGGCTGTTGAAAATAAATTTATAACCAAAACTTAATGAAATGAAACTTTTATAATACAAGTCAGAATATTTAAAAATATAAATTTCAAACACATATTTCTATTTCCAAAAAATTCACAGGTCAGTTTCAGCCTTTTTATTCTATGCAAATAAATGAAAGCTATAAATGAACAATACCTGTATTTACTTTAAAACTACAATAAAATTACCACACACGCACACACATTGTTACAAGTGTAAATAATTTGATGATCTTAAACACTCATGTTTAGAGTATCTTTTTCTTTCACCAATTCTGAAGTTTATAATACTTACTGCTACTTATGAAATGGTATTAGTTGTTCAATTCAATATCACCTAATAATAAAAAAATTTACCACAAAGAATGGGGCTTATAGATGTTGGGATTTTAGCATAATCATATTCACACTTTCCTAGACACTTTTTTTAACTTAAGTATAGAAATATATTTTGCATGTTACTGATTAAATATAGTAAAATAAACAGTCAAGAATAATACCATGTTCTGGCAATTCTCCATATGACTTCAGATTCCTGGCCTCATCTGGATTATACTTCAAGATGACATCAGCTTTGGCATCTTGGTAATCTCGTAATCCTATCAGGATAATGTCTCCTTGGTTTATCCATACCTATAAAAAAAAAATAGTTTTTCTACACTTATCAAAAGACTGAACAAATTAGAAGAAACTTTTGTGTTGGAACATGTATACGTTACAATCATGTAAATAAATAAATAGATTCTCTGATAGAAACATAACTAACAGATGATTAGCCCCATTCTTCATTTACCAGGTCAACAAGTAATTGTTTACCAAGGTCGCCTGCACAACTAATATCCATTTATGAAGATTTCAACTAGATAAACTGTTTATCACATAGTTAACTCAGTTATACCACAATCAGTGTTTATTCTACACAATATTCTTTCACTAGATAAATAAGGTAGAAAAACAATCCACAGAGAGATTATGTAACCACTCAAACATGACAGAAAACCAGTTAATTTAAATTAGCTAATCTGGATTTTAATATACATGTATGCACACATTCAATGGTAATCAAACGACCATATATCATATTAATTACCGTGAGCTTATTATCCAGTTACAACTGATCTACTTAATGTCAGGAATAATTAACAGTACGGTATGCCTACCAATCACAAACAGTGATTATCAATACAACTTTTTGTGAGCAGTATACTGAAGGAAAACAGGAGGAACATCACAGCCTTCACAACCTTATCATTCCACCACTCAAATACAGCCCAATAAATAGTCTATCGGTAATAACACTTTGAAACACCTCAATTATGTCACCTCCAGTTCTTCTTTTCTCCACAGATAAGAAGCTCAACTCTATTACTCATGGCTAAAAATTTCTTAAAGCAGTTAGCATTCTAATAACCAGTACGTACAGTATTGCAACTATCAAAATCATTCATGTATTAAGGAGATCAAAACTGCACATATCTTAAATAAAAACCTTCTTACCATTAAGTTAAAAACATGTTTTCAGTCCTTCAAACTATTAGCAATTTATTACATTCAAAAGTTTCATATACTTATTACTAATCACATTCCACTATTTCCTATTAAAATGTTTTAGAGACCATGACTAAAAGTATCTATAAAAGTGCAGCCACATTTTGAAAACTGCAAGTTAACTGTTTCTATAACACTTGCTGTCTACCTTACTGTTTTGAGACATGAGAAATAAAACATTAATATCCCTGGAATTAATTTGCTTCATTATTTACTTTTATAGACTGGAAAAAAAACAAAACAAAGTATATAGAACATGTTATACAAAACAAACAACAATATTAAGATATGAGTGACAATATTTCCCACAAGCAGGTCTTTACTCAATTCTCTCATTTGGACCATTCTTCACTATCATATCTAACCAGGCAGAGTTTGACTTAATGATAAGACATTAATATGAAACAACAAAACAATTTTATGAAGAAAAATTAGCAACAATTGAGTTAAAGTCAATTCTGGTTGCTGGTCCATTGGACCAACAAGTTGGCAATCTCACTAATCTATTTCTAAGCTCACTTTTGTGATTGAGTTATACCATGCAGCAGTACCAGATAAAACCACTAATACAAGTGGTAAATAATTGAACCAGGACAAATATTTTTAACATATGACATGCTATCACACACATTTACTTCTTGTTGCATTATTCCTACTGGATACAGTAATTCATACATCTTAATAAGTTTTGCAATTAATGTTTTTCAAAGCGTTCCACTATTAACTCGTTACTTCATTATAAACGAAACAATATAATGGATAATTTATGTATATCAATGACTACATACACAATAATTATTTCACAGTTTAAGACATATTCAAATATAATTCAGCAAGAATTACAACTTGAAAATCATAGGTAGTTTAACCTCCAAGAATTAAACTTAAGAGTTACGAGTAAAATATGATAATATAAAGCTAACATTGTAATCGATATTTATTCTTGAAATTTATTTTTAATAGTGAAAAATTTTTTTAAGTCCTATGATAAAAAAAAGTTTTACAAATCAAAACAGCAATTACCTAAGTAAATAACTTGAATAAGAAAAATTTATTTTATAATAGTAATTACAAGTTTGTGTAATGTCAGGCATAGTTCACCATTTTATTTTCTAACTTAAACAGCAAGTTATATTCTGAATGGATTTGGTTAAAATGTTGTCCCAGCTTATGACTGAATAAGCTGTATTTTATGCAATGGATCTTTCCATCAGTAGCTTTAGTTAAGGACTTGTAATAATTTGAATGAACCAATACATCACATTCATCTAAGGAGCACTACAATATGACCAATCTATTCGGTATTCAAAACTTCCATGTTCTTTGCATACATGTCTGCAGTTGTGTCAGGATGGATCTGTTATAACCCTGTTTGCAACAAGAAAACTGACAAACCATATTTATGTTCATTTACATCATGTCATGCATTATTTACATTCTAAAGAAGTATGGTCTATAACTTGTGCTTTATACCCACACTCTTAAAAAAACAGTGTCAATATTTGGCATGTTTCATATTTATACATAATAGTGAATGTAAAACTTTAATAATATTTTATAGCTGCATATTGAAAATACTTCCACAGGAAGGAATGAGACAATCAAAATTATTCACATCATACACTTGTTATGAAAACATAACCAGAGATGAAATTGCACATGCCATGTTCTCTCCTTACTGTATTACCTTGTTGTGTATCTAGTCAAGAACAGAGTAGTCCATTAGACATCTACAAAGTTATACTACCATGAGGGAATTTTATTTCTATGAAAAAAGGAGAGAAAAAAACCTAGCTTTAAGACCAAAATAAGAAATGTACTAAACATTTCCATCTGTGTATTTGAATCTATTAGGCAACACATCTTACCTTCTTATGTACAAAGTATCAAACTGCTATATATATATATATATATATAGTTATTTTTAAGAACTTTTGTACAAATATAAATTGGTAGCTTAAACATTATACATTTTTTGCCTACCAAGTATGAAGGACAATTATGTAAAAACAACACTGGCTATAGCATACATCTTCATAAACCATAGTGACTTGTTAAAATTAAGTTTTGGGCATAATTTACAGAATAACTTAATGTTATTACATATATATATATTTGCTTATAACTATTTTATACTGTATGGTCTGATGAACATCCACCAACTTTGTAACATTAGATAAAGAAAATTGTCAAAAACCAATCCAAGAACATAGCTTATCTGTTCATTATTGGTTCTTCATCATTAACTACAAGATAACAATGTTGTGGGACCTATTGGTCCATATTGGCTGTTCCATCCTCTAAACTAAATTAAAATAATTGAAAAATATATATTAAAGCCAACCCTTATCATTCATATACTTAGAGCTTTTTTCTTAAACTCACTTAAATTTACTGCCTCTACAACATCTGAATGCAACCCATTACAAAGGCCAACCACCCTTTTAGAAAAATGAAATGATCTTAGCTGTAGATAACTCCTGTCCTGCCAAAATTTATATATATGTGTCCCCTAGTCCTACTATTCTCACTGTTAAGTATGAAAAAAGATAATGCATCAACACTATCAATTCCATTTACAATCTTAAACACCTCAATCAGAACCCCCCTAACTCTTCTTTTATCAAGAGAAAACAATGAGAGATTTTAGCCTCTCCTCGTATGACAACCCCTCCATTCCATGCACTATTTTAGTAACCTTTCTCTGAATCCTTTCCAAAAATGCAATGTCTTTCGTAAAATAAGGAGCCCAAGACTAAACTAATAATCCAAATGTGGCCTAACCAATGAGGAAATTATAACCTCTTTAGACTTGTATTCATGAGCATGAATTCAAAATTTCAGATATATTTAGCAAAATCTTCCAGTGAAACACGTATCAGTTTTAGTAGAGATATATTGGTTTTATGTATGAAGTTTTAAAAACTAGGTCATCAATGTAACGTTGAGTAACCAACTGATGAAAACACATATCCATTCATAGTTTTCATAAATGTAAAATGGGAAATAATTCATACATTAGTTTCAACTATAAATTCAGGGTAAATTGTGTTACTTATTTCATACATTATAAGTAAAGAACTGGAGTATTTGGAATGATTGATCTATCAAACATTATTTATTCATTAACCACTTGCATAGAAGTAACAGTAAATTGCTTAGAACCACTCAGTTAAAAAAGTTAAACTAATTTAAGTAAATACTTGTAAGTAATGAAGTAAAGAACTTTTCTTTTTATTCTAAATCTTTGTAAAGTGCATTAATAATAACAGTGAGTAAACAACTGATATGTATTTTAGCATATTATATTTTTAAGGAAAACAAACACAAGAAAGTTAAAATTAAAGTTAGAATTCTGACAACTTGGTGCATTATTATCCACTATTTGAGGTGCTACACATTAGTAAGCACACTGCCCTTACAGTGTTATACCTCATTTATTTTAGAAACAATAAAAAATAGAGTGCCAGAGTGGCTATGCAATAAAGTTAAAATAGCTTGAACTTTTCTCTTAAATTGACTTAGTATAACATACCATACAGTAGACCTAGAATTTACAAATGGCATAGTATTCAGATGTGTGAACAGTTACTAGCAAACATTTTGTATGCTTGCTGGTATCTTGTTGAAGAAATTGAACTACTTTTGTAAATAGTCTTCAGTACTATCACTAGATGGCACTAGCATCCAGTCCGTCTACAGTGAAAAGCTAAGAACTAAAACACTTCTATATCGTACTACAAGCCTAGTGGTAATGTCTGACAGCTTGAATAAATTCTTTTCGACTAATTAATGTTTTGAAAGTTATAATTTTTAAAAAACGAATTGAAGAATATCGTAAAGGCGTTAAAAACGCTAAAGCGAACTTAACCAAATATGTATATAAAAATACACGAATCAACAAGAACAGCAAACAATGATCAGAAGAAGTGCAATGTATATAGTGACGAACATTCCAGACTGTACTGGGGCTCAACAGGAGAAACAGAAACTAACGGTTCTTCATATCGCCGCCAAACACAGACGCGATTCATTAGAGAACGCAATAAAGTTTGGAAACCAACTGTGTGTCGTCGTGGCAAGTTGTCAGGAGTGGTCGCGAGAGTTTCAACAAACGAAATATAATTATGAACATTAAGAAACAAACTCTACAAAACAAACATGTGACAGCAGAGTGTTGCGCAAATCAAGGTAAGTGAATTAGGATGTAGTCAGTAAAAAATGCTTGGGAACCACTGGTTTATGTTATCGGATACCACGGCGAGATGTGCTTTATAAAAAACGAACAACAGAATTCGTCACGGGAAGGAACAAGTGGAAGAACATATATAAAAAATACTTACAAGTCAGAAGTTAAACAGGTCAAAAACCTATACGTATTTCAGCTAATGAATAACAAGAAAAAAACCGATGTATCAAGATGAACCAATCAGCGTGTAGTTTTGGTTTTGCTTATGAAGTAACCAATCAGTAGCCAGAGAATCACATGTGTTTACATACAAAAAGCCGTGATTTTTGACAAGTCAGTCAGTCGTTAAGAAGATTTTCCAGAATTTTTATAGTTCTATTAGAAAAAACAGCCGTATTACAGTCAGAAGAAAATATTCCTTGTACGAACTCCTTGGGTAAGTTTAAAATTCCTATCTCTAACCTGATCTAACAACGTAGTTACATAATATATTGTAATTGAAATTCAACTGAGTTGAAATAATAGAAGATTTAATAAGCTTATTAGAGAATACAAATCGGATGTTAATAAACTTAACTTATTATTGTTAAAGTGTTAGGTATAAAGGGGAGTTATATCATAGAGTAATACTAGTCAGATTGATGGTCTGTTAATGTTAATACATCTTTTGGATGGCTTGATTAATGAATTATATCACAGTAAAGGGATAATGTAGATGTAAATATATTATTTGAATTGTTGAATTAAATGTGTAGTATTTATGTTACCTAATATCAGAATCCCTCTTTATTCTGAAGGTAAAGTTCCTTGAACTGGTGGCCTGAGTCGATCTACGACTGCATAACCTTGAACTACATAAATTTCATTTGTAACTTGTGTTAAACCGACCGATGTAAATTGGTGCAGTGCTCCAGGATTTTGGGGTTAGCCAACAACAGACTGTGAAGAATAAAGAAAGAAATTAAGCTAAGTTAGTATAAGCAGAAATAAGTAGGGATAAAATGAGTTGATATGGCCACCACTGACGGACAAATAAACGTGGGTGCACGAACCAGAGCTGACAGTTCTCGGCTTCACTCGATACTAACGCGGATTTTAAGTTTAACCCAGAAGAAAGGAGAATCGGTTAGTTCATATGGGTATAAACTGGAGGAGCTAGGTAACCGAATTCCTATGGTGTATAAACAACCAGATGATATGGCGGTTCAGGAAACTTTGAAATCAGTTTATGAACAGGGATTACTCAGTAATCCTGCTATAAGGCTCGTGAACGAAGCAAATACCACAGACGCAAGATTATCGGACTTAATTAAAGTAGCTAGGAGAGAAGAAAGACGCGAGCAGTCACTATACTCGTATGCGAAACTGAATAAGCCAGAGGGACCAAAGTGTTTTAATTGTGGTAAAATCGGGCATATGGCTAAAAACTGTTTTAACAGAAACAATATGCAGATAAAATGCTTTAATTGTGGAATAAGAGGCCACGTGGCGAGGAACTGTAGACGTCAGTCGAAAGCCCCCAAAGACCGAAACTTTTAGAAAAAGGTAGTCTACAAATACGGAAACCAGCATTTGCTAAAGCAAAAATATATATCTATATGTATAAGATAATAAAAAATATATAAAATAAAGAAAAAGTTTAAAATAACAAAAAAGAAATGAAGAAATATAAAATAAAAAATGTTTTTTTTTATTACTTCTTTTGTGTAGTTTTTCCCCAGAATTAAAGTTAGTGTATTCTATGAATGTATGTAATAAAATTTAATACTATATGTATTTTTTTTTTAAAGCTGGCAAAGCTCAAAATTCAATCTTGAAATGACGGGAGAACAAGCATGAATAATGTGGTGCCAAATTTTATTTTACAAGCAGGATATCGTACACTAAATTGTTAGGAATTAATCACACTATCATTCACATTTCAAGTTACCCAGATTTCAGTAAAGACTTTATCCTAAGTATAGGTGCATCAAGATTTGCTATAGGTGCAATATTATCATGAAGATGGAAAAGAACACCCGATAGTTTATCAAAGCAGACAGTTACAAATAGCTGATATAAATTATTCAGTTACAAAACAGAAATTCTTAGATGTAGTACACAGAATCAAAACATTCTGGAGTTGTCTGTATGGGAGGAAGTTCACTATTATCACAGATCATGCATCGTTAAGATGGCTAATGACATTAAAACATTAAAGTCCCCATAATCTAGGTTTGCAAGATGGACATTATTGTTACAAGATTATGATTTTGAAGTAATACACAGACCAGATAGAAAGCATTCTAACGTTAATGCTTTAGGCAGGATTAGAATAGGTAATACAGAAACAAAATAAATGAGGTAAAGTTAGTAAGTGAGGATGATTTAGAAGTAATTTGGGATTTAGATCACTCAATTAATGAACAGAAGAAAGATGAACTGGTAAATAAATTAAGAAACAGTAGTATATGGAAGATACGGAATACACGTTAGACTCGATATATTATGTAGAAAGGCTGACAATAACAGAAGGTTGCAGATAGTTGTACTACATAGTTTGAAAACTAGTCATAAACTTGTAATAACAAACCATTTTAGCACACTTAGTTTTTGCATAAATGTACAGTAGATTAAGTAAAATTATTTTTGTTAAACATGAGGAAAGATATTAAAGACTACTTTGAATCACACATGGTGCCAGAAGCAAAAACTAGCCCACACTTTATAAATGCTCCTTTACAAAGAGTTTAACTATGCTTTTCTACTTAATCGCTATGGATATTTTAGCCCCATTACCTATATCCTATGCAGGAAACAGAGATGTACTTGTAGTTGCAGACTACCTGACTAGATTTTCTGAGGAAATACACTTACCAGATCAGAAAATAGTAACAACTGCCAAAGCATTCACAGACAGACAGAGGTACTAACTTTATTTCCAAGTTAATCCTTTTGTTGCATAGTTCAGATATATCCAAACTACACAATCAAAGGGTTAAATATAATCATTGGTGTATTGTGCAGAGAAAGCATTAATGAGAGAAATTTGCAAATTACTAGGAGTTAAGAAAATAGAAACCACTGCTTATCACCCAGCTGCTAATGGAAAGATTCAACAGAACTCTACTACATATGATCTTTCAGTATGTGAAAAATATCAGAAAACGTGGGATAAACTATTCCTTTACTATTATAAGGTAGAGATGTTACCCATGCAGGAAACACTAATTCCTAGAAAAGTAAATTATGGCACAGATTATGACTACAAGGCAAAATTATTACAGCAGATGCAATTAGCATTTCAGTTAGCTAATGAACATTTGATCACTGCTCCTGAGCACAGAGAAACAAGTAAATAAAAAGGCACAAATTAGTGAAATAAGGTTAGTAGACAAAGTTTTGTTATACATACCAATAGTTAAAAATAGGAAATACTAAAAAACTGGCACAACTATGGAAAGGACCATTTAGAGTCACTAGACAAACAAGTCCAGTTAATTTTGAAAAACAAAAGTTTTATGGAAAAAATAAACAGTTGGTGTATGTGAATAGGTTAAAGAAAGTAAAAGACTACAAACCTTATTAGTATGAATGTTTAATTGACAAAGCGAAAACAGAAGATCAAATTAGAAATATACAAACACACACTGAGAGCTTAAGTGAGACCAAGTTATACATTGAGAATGAAATGACAGATACAGAAGAATCATACTTAGAAGATGATAGTGGTGTATTAGATTGTGAAATCATTACAACACAGAATATTCCAGTAAGTGACACCAGCAGTGAAAATATTGCACAAGAAACTGACAATGTGTTAAGTACACCAGTGACAACACAGGCCAATACAATAACCCATAATTATAATCTAAGTTCACATAGCCTAATAACAAATTACTCAGAAGTGACCCCTACAATCAGAAGGAGATAAGTGAAGTTTGCACCTCAAGTTATTGTACATAAACCGTGAAGTGACTTGAAAGTAGCTAATGCTGACTACAACAGAATGAAAGATAGTATAGTAGAAGCATTTAACAATATGATAGACTATTTGAAGAATCACAACTAGAATAAGTTTGTATATACTGAATATAGAAGTATATTTAATATGTTAGAGGATATAATTATGCAAACTAGTATGAGACATTCTTAAGTATACCAGGATCATTGTGATGCTTATGGTAGGAGGTGCAGCTGGACAGAATGTAAGCATTGTTCCAGTAGAAAATAAGGTGAGTATGGTATTTGTTGCCCAGAGCAAATTAGAAAGAGTATTGGATGAAATTGAAAGGTGATTACTGCCATACTTTAAAGTTTGTAATCCCCACACATAGTGATCAGACTGACGTGTATTATACATGGGCTGATGTAAAGACAGTTGCAATAAGAGATCCCTCAAGAATGTTTAAGCTATACAGAATTATACCATTAGCACTGAACAACTCTTTAGTTTTAATTAACTAAAGAGAGTCAAAACCCAATATATCACTGTTTCAAGTGATCAGCATACCTATTGTGAAATGATGGAAGAAGACATGTTAAGATGTATAGAGGTACCCATTCAAGTATACAACCGTAATGGAGTACCCATAGTAACTTATTTTCAGGAATTAGAAATAGAATAGCAGAACTATGTGAAAAGAGAGTAATTGTCCCTAAACCATTTTATATCTACAAGAACCAGAGGAATATGGTTGTTTAACATAAGGAATGAATTAACTTTATCAGTAGTATGTTCTAAATCTGATGTGCATCAATTTGATTATCAAACTAAGGTAGTTAAGAAACAGAAGATACCTAAAACTAGCAAGAAATTGCTCTGCACATGGACAAGGAATAACCTTGCCCTACAGTTTTAGGAGTAAAACTAGGTACACAAGTTAAATATACAAGTACCAGATCTGCAAGAATTATTAACAGAGAAAGAATTGTGGTTAATTAAAGATATAAATGTAGTTTCAGAAATTAAAGACCTGACAAATTGATAAGAAGAAACTCAACATTTGCCCTCCACAGAGATCAGGGTTAACTATTAATGTGTTTCAACAGCATTTAAATAGTTTGCAACAAAGGAAGAACAGGTTAGATAAGATGAAGTTATCAAATTTAGTGCTCATAACACTATGCTTAATTAGTTGTACTAGTAAGCACACTGTTATACAAAGCATGTGACAAACTGGCTTTCATTGGCAATTCACTTTGCACATTTTGAATTTACGTTATTTCACTTCTTCCATGCCAATTCACGTCACGCACATCATGTTTCGATCACATTGACTTCAAATATCGTTCCTCTTTCCGTCAGTGATTAAACTAATCCTGTTGATTTTGCCTATAACTTTTGATATATAATATTTGTTTTATAATTCACTGACCTCACCAATTCGTTAAACTAACGTAATTTTGTCATCAGTCTATACAATGTGTTTACCTCCTAATTAGATGGTTCGCATTCATTTAGTTTGACCTCTTCAGTAGCCTCTGAATATCACAACCTTTTGTTGCCTGGTTCTGTTCTTTTTTTATTTTTGCATAATCATCTGATTCAACAATGTGAAAACTCGGAACAACTCAAGATCGATCGTGAACGTGTCGAAACAATGGTGAAGAAATGAGAACTGGATACTGTTATGTTGACAATGGAAACCTTGAAGATTTTGGGTGCACCGCTTATCGTCGTTTGATAAACTCACTGTGTATAATATGCGGCTATCATGTGGCCTCTTCAGAACACTGCAACAAGAAGTGTTTGTGCATTACATGACTGGATCATGAACAGTTCTGTGTCTCATTTCTCTCGTCATGAATTTTGAAGATAGAGAAGAAAGAAGACGTCCTAGATTGTAGTTACAATATCTTCAATTTGATATAATTGTATTAGTTACATAATTGAGTAAGATATAGTTGTAAATAAATATACTGCGTACGAAAGGGATTGTGAATTAATTTTAATGTTAATTGCATGAAGTATGTTTATGGACGATTATTACGAGTTCATAATTATAGTAGGATATGTAATGAGGATTTAGATTAGGTTTCATTTTTTTAAATATGGATTATATTGTGTATTAGAAATATGGTCAATGCTAATAATCCTCATAAAAGTTATTGAGTAATGACATGCATTTTGTTTTTGTTAATTGTTTTGGTATTGAATAATCCAGTAAAGGAATATTAGAAATAATGATGTGTAAACATAAAATGATTACATTATATAATAGTAAAAATGAATAATATTGCGATTAATTATAGTCTATACTACCTAAGGTCTAGAACATAATATAATACAGAGTAAGAATATTTAGACGGATTATTGTTAGCATTGTTCGATACAACGAGAGAAGGTAGAAACATAGAAGTTTGGTGGAGAAATTTTTATTGAAGATAAGATTATTTTAAGGAGTTATGAGTGAAGCATTTGCAGTATTTTGAGACATTTTACGATATTTTCAAATGCTTCAAGCAGTGACAAATATAATCTTATAGAATTCCATGTATGACATATGTACATGCAATATGAAGTAAAGCTGCGTACATTTAATGCATAGAAGTTACACAAGGCCGCTTGACCAATAAAGGAAATGTACATGTCAAGCATAAACTAAAACGTATCCAAGGTGGTACTGAGGATCAACTGTTTATGTC